GAACCCTGAAACAACTTCCAGGCTGATCTAAGTCAGGGCACTGCTAACTCACAGATAGAACCCTGAAACAACTTCCAGGCTGATCTAAGTCAGGGTACTGCTAACTCAAACATCAAATTGCATTTAGTGTGAAGATAAAGAAAATTACTTACCGATGAACCTTGTTACAGACTATTTCATTGTCCTTCAGAATAGTGTCTAAAGTTGCTGTTTCACCATTTACTGGTTAAGTAAAATAGAAAGAAAATTTATTATAAATATATTGTATGGGATGCAAGAAAGTGGATGTCATGATTCAAACAAGAAATGTTTGCTCACTAAAAAATAATGAGTTAAAGAAAAGCTGCTACAATTATAAGGAAAGGCAGAAAATTTAAAATATAAAATTTTGGATTATAACATCCTTTTTTTGTGGGGCTTTACTGTATGAGAAATAAATATTATTGTAATTATTTATTAAAAATGCAGTGAGTGAGTTTGTAGACTAATAAAAGAAACTACAAAAAGGTGTGAGGGGGAGGGGTAGGGGGTGGGGTCTGACAAAGTTAGGTAGTTTATTGGTGCTGTGCTTGTCAACTAAACAGATTACAGAAATGTTTTGATAACGTACCTGTTATTTTTCCTGTTTTAATTGCTTTTTCCTGCAATGAAAATAAAATAAAAATAATGTCAATATTATTGTTAAATGTTATGCGCATCTGCCAAATCATAGAATTAATTTTCTCTATTTTTTCAATAGTTATCTCTTTCCTTAATATTATTATTATTATTGTATATACATTTTGTAAGTAGTTATATAGCACAATTGAATATTAATATAGATTTTTGTGCTTTAGAAATTATTAAATTAAATTAAATTGTTCAAAAAAACAAGCACAAACTATGTCGTCTCTCAGCAATGCAGCCCAGGTTAGAGTCCTGCCAGTCTCTGTATCATACATGTATCAATGTGAGTAGATTTGTTGGTTGGTTCTCTTCTGTGCTTCAAGGGTTTTTCTCTGGGTTCTCCAGTTTTCCTCCCTCCACAAAAATCAACTTCTAAGTTATAACTCTATCTAAAGTTGGGCTTTCTCCTAGTTTGGAGCCTAACTCTGCTGTGATTGTCCCACACTGTTATACAACAGCCAAAGCTTGATAAATTTTTTAAACAAACAATTTGACTTATCCCATCCAAAACTTACATGTAGAATTTTTTTCTGATTTTCTTTTCTGATTAAATTTGCAGCTGCATAAGTTGCTTGATATACTGATATATATAGGATCAGCTCAATTTGATACATTAATTATTACCACAGTTCAATATATAGTTTATACATATTCTTATAAATACAATTTGACTTATCTAACATGAAAATTGGTCAAGATTCTCAGAGAATAACATTTTAGTATATAGCATTTAGAAAAGTTCAACCTCATGCAATTTAGATATTATTAACTTGACTTACATAGTATTCTGGTGGTTCTGATCTGAATTCGTCTTTAAAAACCTCAAATAATTGCCTACCAACCCAACGACCTTTACAGTGTGTGGTAAATGTGAAATGATATGGAGTTACGTACCGAAGACCTGCAATATGATATAACAGGAATAAAATTAAAGTACATTTGAATCATAATAGAGGTTTATATGGAGGGAGGGGATACAACCGTAATAAACCCTGTGGTAAAGTAGAGAATTCACATTATAAGTTGTACTACCATAAAATTTTGATTATACAATAGTGTCCCCCCCTTCCCCAATCCAAGTTATGAGCCCATGACAGGGATTTCATCAAGGGTTGGGAATCAGAAAAGGATCCAGTAAATGAACAAAATTCTCTGGTTCAGATTAATATTTATAGCTTATTAATTTGTACTTATTATTTGTTCACTTAGATTCTACAGCTCGTTCTTTAATAGCTAAATGCTTGCTACATGTAGCTCACTTGAATCCTTCATTCCTTCCTTCCTTCCTTCATTAATTCAGTCAGTCAGTCAGTCA